TGGAACAGTCCTCCTATTGTAAACCTGGCTTCATTTTGCTCTCTGACTTTACCAAGTTAGCCTCTCATCTAAAATTTTTCAACTTTGAATATCATTGTTTTCTAAATTCTGTACCTTTTTATACACAAAAACGTAGAATTGAATAAAGTTTACTCTGTTAGATATGAGGGATAGTGAATTCTTCTGTGCAGTCTCAAACATATTCACATATTCAGTATGAAAAATGCTTTTGCCTCTATTCCCTGTACCAGTGGCAATGCATATTTAATTTTATAAAGACAGCAGACATACAACTTTGAGGACAAAAAGTGTTGGAACACTTGGTAAAACTTTTTAGAGCCGTTAGAGTATTAACAGAAAGAATAATGGTAGGATAATGGTAGATTGCTAAGATGCCTTCCTCAATGTTTGATTCTTCGTATCTTGAAACACACAAGAATTTCGAGCACAGTTTAGTAAACTGTTCTTGGAGAGGCCTCTAAATCCGAGTAGTATGCTTTTGGAGATTTAGTAATTCCTCAGCTATTAAGAGATTTGCACGTGTTTGTGTTATATACCATTTGCTGGAGCACTGCGTGTACTCTCTGTACTTTATTTCTGCTTCATAAAGCAAACATTTCTTTGCTGTTTTGAAGAGCAACATTTTCCAAACCTGACATCAAGAGAGAATGTTACTTACTTCCATTATTTTCCGACTCTGTAACTCAGGTGAGAAAGGCTTGAGGACTGGGAGCAGAGGGGAAGGATCACCTCCCTCGACCTGCTGCCTAATGCAGCCCAGGAGGCTGTTGGCTACTTTTGTCATAAGGGCACATTGCTGGCCCATGGTCAGCCTGGTGTCCCCAGGTCCTTCCCTGCAGGGCAGCTTTCCAGCCGCTCAGCCCCCAGCCTTTCCTGGGGAATGGGGTTATTCCTCCCCAGGTCAGGACTTGGCATTTCCCTTTGTGGAACTTCACGAGATTCCTCTCTGCCTATTTCTCCAGCCTGTCCAGGTTCCTCTGAATGGCAGCACAACCACCTGGTCTGTCAGCCGCTCCTCCTAGTTCTGTATCATCTGCAAACTTGCTGAGGGTGCATTCTGTCCCATCTTCCAGGTCACTAATTATGATAGAATTAAGATGTTAAACACTATAGGACCCAGCCTAGGGTGTACCACTATTGATGGGCCTCCAGCTGGCGGATGGCTCTGAAACTTTGACTGCTTGCAATGCTTTCATGTCCCAAGGAAATTAAAAAGATTTGACTTGCACAAAGTAGGTTAGAGCGTCATGTCCTAACGCTGCTAAAATATATAGATACCTTGATTTAAAATACAGTCATCGATTAAGTTAGGTATATATGCAAGATTGTACTTTGTGTAATTTGGAAGTTACTTCATGTAACTGTGAAGAAAAAAGGGTTTCTGCAAGAGTTCTTTGGAAAACTGCTCTTACAGTGCTGCCCTTTTCATAAATGTGACAAAACCAGTGTGAGGTAAACAGGTTAAGATTGGGTTACATTGTTACACAGCTTGCAAATTAACTATCAAAATTCAATGCCTTTACATGCGATCTGGTGATTTTGAATAGATGAACTGATCTGGACAAGTTAAGAGACTTCCTTAGTTCTGTGCTACTCCCCTTACTGCAGCTAACATTTAAGGGGATGCTCTTTTAGCATCATGTGCTGAAATTATTGATATGGATTGGAGAGGTCAGGTTTTTCTATTATGTCATAGAGCAGATTATTGTACAAAATTGCCCCACCAGCTTACAGTTCTTATTGTTCCTTCTGCATTAGTGGCTTCTTCTAATGCTGAAAGGTGGAGAGACATTTGTCCCATCTTTTTTCAACTGTGGAAACTTAGGTTAAAAGAAAAATTACAGCTAGGTGTCACTAACAGGTTAAGAGTATCCATAATACAGCGGTGGTTGTCCAGGTGAACTTTTGTTGGTGAATACTTCGCATTTTGCCGTGAGAAACTTATGCAGGCATTTCCTTCAGGAATGGAGAAGGGTGTAAACAAAACAAAAGCTGGTAGGAGTGACTTCAAATCAGTACATAAATAAGGCTGTAGGAACTTACTGGTAAGGGTCCCATTTTTTGCCATATTTTTGTCTTCCATTTTGCAATTACAGATGAGTTTCTGTCATCAAGAACATACAACTCTCTCAGGATTATGATTCCAGTAATGGCTCCTTCTGTGTGGTGATTCCCTGTCCTAATTTTAATGAGAAGCCATAAACTTATGGCTTCAGTTGTTCATTTTAATTTGTCACTAGCGTGATTTCAACGCTTGGGATTCAAGTGAAATCAGTTCATGCACAATACTTCGAATATTTTGGAACTTACTGGTGCTTACTTGATTATCACATTGTGAATCTGTAGTCCATTTCAGTGTCGTCTTCTCACTGTGCCTCGCTGTTCTTTCTTGAAGAGTTATAATGAAACTTCATAGAAGATTATTTCATTTTTGTTCTGAGATTTTTTTTTGTCAATAGTTCCTTCATTTCTTATGGAACAAGGGACAGAAACTGTCCTAACACATTTAATTTGTTCTAGATTTTCTACCTATTATTTCACTTACGCATATTGATTCTGTTCCTACTTTCCAAATCCTCTCACAACTCAGGCCTGTTTCAAGGATCTCTCAGGCATCAACTCCCTCCTCCTGCAAAGGCTACTCCTTTACTTATTCCCCATTTGGTCTGTTCAATATCTAAAGAAAAATGGTTTCTCATCTTTTCAGGGGCAGTTCGTAATGCAGTAATACTAATAATAGCAGGTATTTACTCTTGTCGTACGTCACAGATATAGCCTTCTATAACTGTGACCCATGTTAGAGCAAGGAAATAGAAGTCTGTTTCCAGCACTTCTGTGTGTCATACATTTAATTATAAGAGGGATCTAAATAGGAAGCCATTTTATTATAATGAATGGAATCAATCTTTAACTTGCTGTCTTTTCCCTGGCATCATCTAGAGGTTTCTTTGGATGTTACTCATGATCCAGGAGTGCATCAGATCTTGGCATAGGTGCCCAATGTTTTTTAGTATGTTTAAATAAGCAGTGGCAATGCAAGAGAAATATTTTTGAATTTAAATAATTTATGCTTATGTACTGCAGCTGCTTAATCCGTTTAAGTAAGGACCTAGTTGTCCTGGTTGTCCATGCTTGCTAGGAAGTCGACTTTTTTTACTCAGCTGTGACAATTTTGGAATAATACTGCCTCATCGCTGAAATTGCAACTTAAACATGATGCTTGGTATTTCTAGTTTGATTCGTGAAGGGCCTCTGTCTGCATGTTACGCGTTTTTATCTTGTCAAAGATCATTAGTCTTGAGCAGACACGCGCAAGTGTATGTAATATCCTGGGAACCAGTTGTGCAGTGTCTCATCGTTAACTATCCTTAATGGATGGAAATGATACCAGGGGGTTTACAGTAATCAAGTCTTAAAGTAAAAGTCTTAACATGTGATAGATCTGGCTGAATGAGAATAAATTCATTCTGATGTGCAGCAGTATTCTAGAGGGTATCATTAATACATACAGAATAATACATACAAATCTGTTGGAGCCTATTAATATACCTGATGTATCCTGGTTCTTCTTTGCTGTTTCCAAGTTGTTACAAAGCATTGTAAATTGACAAATTTAAAAAAGCTAGCCCGTAGTTGGAAGGCATTGTTCACATTAATGTGTCCTCACAACAGACTTGACTTTGTGTTGAGAAAGAAAGTATTGTGGAAATTAAAATATAACTGACACCGTTCTTGTATTAAGTTTCTGTGAACATTATTAGAGGAACAGTAAGTATTTATTTATTTTTGTACAAATGAATAACAGAAGATAATTGTTTAGGAAATAAAACTAGTCTTTGTATTTTCCTCTACCTTCACTTAGAGATTTGGAATAGGAAAAACGACTACCGCCAGAATTTATTCTATGTTATTGCATGGTTACATTGTATGCCTCGGTTGAACACAAACACCGAATAACTTTATATTACTGTTAAGTAGTAAATTCTGTCGCCAAATAAAAATTTCATGTAGAGCCTCTATCAGCAGAGATATTTGTAAAAATGAATTAAAAATAGAAAACACCAAGTCAAAAAAAAATTATACATTCAACGACAAAACTTAAGCTTGCAGTGTAAAATATTTTTTCTAAAATACTTTGCTTTCTAGAAAGAATTACTGAAACATCTTTAATTTTTTACAAAAATATTGAATGTTATATGTCACAAAAAGAAATAGTGGGGAAAAAAAAGATTAAAAATTAAAAATCCAGCATTCAGATATATTTGTTGAAAAATGGAAGGTAGTATTTACATACGTAAAGAATCTGACAGAAACGACTCAATAAATCATCTATGCTGTGTCAAGTTACCTGTTATTAGTTAGGAAATAGACTTATTAAAGGTATTGTTATCCTGAATGTCATGAACAACATGTTAGATCAGGCATTAAAAAAAGAAATCAGAAATTTAGGATGAAAGTAATTTTACCAAACTTCAACTACCTAGAGATTAGGCTTTTTGTGATCCTTGTGATCAAGGATCTGGTTTTGGTCAGTAGAAAAAGACATCCCCTGTTTGTTTTGGGCACCCGCCTTGGCATAGGGGTGATCCCAAGCCTTTGGGATCATAAGCTTGTTCTACAGAAACACAAAGTTTGCAGTATTTATTTAGAAGTTAAAATTTTCTAGTTGCATCTTTACTGTACCAGGGAAGTTAGTAACTCTCGTTTTTTTGTTAGACATAGCCAATTTGCAACCTGCGTATGAATAATTAGTATCCCTTAGTTGTGATCACCATGCATCATAGAAGTAGGAGTAAAAGCCAAATGATTTGTGCATTTTATCTATCAACTTCTATACCACCATTTTTAGTCACTCACTGCACTTCCCACTCTTATGCCCTGCACTGCGCAATGCAGAGGCTGCCTCTCGTTTGTTTTATTCTAAGAAGAGTGTGTTTAATAGTAATTAGAAAGAAGAGCAAGTGTGTTAAGCACCAGGGATGTCAGTGAATGTGATGGCTGGCTGGTGTTACCAGAAGTTGGCTTCTGGTAAGTTTTGTGCCAAAGTGCAAAGCAATGCTTAGCATTTCCTTCAAAGTGCAGCCAGGGGGAAGGAAAACTTTTTTCATGTGTTTAAGAAAGACGCAGTCAAATTGTACGTGCTGAAGGTACTGACTAAAAAAGTTTTTAGTCAGTTAAATGTTTGAGTTGTCGCTGCCCATTTTACACTTCTGCCTTCCCTCAATCTGGCATGAAGTCAAACAATTGCAGGTTTGGAGCTTACAGAAAAGAGAAGAGCACAGTGTGGACTTCTTTAAGATGCAAGGTGCTAATAGTACCTTTTTTGTGAATTCATATCTAACACAGATAAAGTAGTCAGATTTGTGAAATCTGGAGAGGATGTTAATAAGGCATCTCGGTATTTGGAGAGGCTGGAAACAGACAGGGTATTTGCTGTTGAAACAGCTCCCTGCGAAGGCAGCATTGGTAATGAGAAAAACATTTTACAGTGCAGTGCCTTTCCAAATACGAAAGCAGTTAGTAAGGACTGATGTAACTACTGCTCCATGTTGGTTGTGCTTTTAAGAACACTAAGTTTAGATTTATGAATACTTATCTATTTTGTCAGTATTTGGAATACAATTTAAAACGCCACCTTTTAAATAAAAGTTCTAATAATTAATTCCAGTAGTAATAAACTATAATTAGTTCTAATCTAATGATTTCTAAGCTGATAATTGCAGTGTTAACTATTCCTCCTCTTGCTTTTAGTTCCTACTTTGTCATGTCTTAAGTGTAGAAATAAAGCGTAAGTTCTGTATGCAAAAAGCTTAGCCTTACTTTTGTAATAATGCAATTTTAATAAAAGCTTGGTACAGGAATAATTTTACAAGGAAGAAAGTGTTTCATTTGGTCTAAAATGCAGAATCAGTGACAGTTTTTCTTTTTTAGTTTAAGCTATTTTTATCATGATTGTGGAAGGAAGGAGAGACTGCAAGTACAGTTAGACAAATCAGCTCAGTAGACTGGTGTATGAGGTTTCCTCCTTAACTGAAACCAGAGTTTAAGGTTCTGTCATACAAATCTAGGTGACTATGTTTGAAATACACTGGAATAGTAATTATTTCAGGTATTGCCATAGGAGTAGTCTTTGAATTCATGTCTTGTTAAATGAGATTTTTCAGTTAAACTTTTGCAAATTCTGGGCAGAGTGACCTTTTTTTCCCTTATATATTACTCTAAAGTGATAACCATCTTTAATTTCAGCTGAGATTTCAAGATATGACCGTTCAAACCTTTTATTTGTTAGAACATTTTTGATTAAGAATAGATTAGTAAAAATCTTTGTGTCCATGTTACTTAGATTAACTGCAAAAGTATAAGTTGCCATTGCTATCAAGTGGAAAAATGGAATTTTAGTTATGCTTGGGAACTAGGAAGTACTGATGAAAATATTTTATTTAAGAAAGGAGAGGTTACACTAGTAACTGACAGAATTCCTTTAAGTTTTATATAAAAGAAAAGAGTTTTGTTGCAGTTCAGTTAGTAAGAAGAGAGAAAAAGTTCTGAAACTTGCCAACTAAGGATTTGATTTTGGTATTTCTTTCATCAAATGATAAATGAATATAATAAAATTATCATTGTAGCTTTATTCATGCGAATGAGATCAGGGAGTTGATATGCCTTAGGTGTAGAAAGAGATCTGTGATGGCTAATTAATATTTTAAGATTATAATCAAAAGCAGTTAAAGATGAATGTGCTTTGTTTTAATTAATAAAATCATGTTTTGCTGCTAGTTTTCAAAAAGATATCCCTGTCATTTTAAAGCCTTCAGTAAAAGTAAAGTTCAGTGTTTTCCCCATTCACTTACCTTATTATAAATGTAAGGGCTCTAGGAGTGAAGAGACAAATTAAGGAAACTGAAGATCTAATTGCATTTGTGGGGAGAAGGGAATATATGTGTCTCAGTTTGTCATTTCTTCTGTTGTTTTCTTTAAACACATTCCCCTCTTGAGGAGGACAAAAAGATTGATTTTTGTTGTGTTATCTGTAAAAATATTTTTAATGCAACAATGGCTTCCTATATTAGAATAATTGCTCTTGTAAAATGAATGCTGGTTTTGTCATAAAGTAACAAAAAACAGGACTTTGCTGCATTGTTACATCACTGTAATGTGTTTCTGTGTTTGCTCATTAAGGGGGGGAAAGAGCTTGCTCTATGTGTGATTCCATGTAGTTTTATCTAAAGGTAGCAGGTATTTTCTGCTGTTGGATTGGTATTTTTCTTTTTGGTATGTGCAACTCTGTTGTATTCCTATTGTGAAAATTTAGTGGTATATAAGTGAGACAGTCTTTAGAATTCTTGGAATGGTTTCCCTGGCACTTGGCAGCGATGGTACATCGTATCTCAAGTGCAGGGCTTAAGTAATACATAAGTAAAATTTGCTTAATTCTTGCTTAATTTTACACTTTGTATTCTAACAATTTGGCTGCTGAATTTGCTCAGTGGTGGTAATCGCCTCTTTGCAGTCTCATGTTTTTCTTTGCCAGGTTGGTTTATTTTGCCAGTTTCTCCCAGCTTAAACTGTGTCATTAGCTTTTGGCTTTTGGAAAACATCAGCTTAAAGCTTGGTTGTATGTCCCCAAAGCCTCGTGTACTTCTGCACCTTCAGGGGATGATTTACACTGACATACTGATCATTCTTTGCAACTAAGGCTGCCAGTGTTAAAATTGTCCCATAATGATAATAGCCCCTCAGCCTTGTTTGGTTACGTGACAGGGCACATCGCTGCAGTGGATTGCACAGTGTGACTTTCTCACTCCCCCAGCGCCAGGAGCTCCTGGTGTTAGGCATGAAAGAAAGATGAGGAGCTAAACAACAGAAAATAAAAATTTGACCCGTAGGCACCCACAGGACACGAGATCTGAGTTTATAATACAAAACATCTTGTATTTTTTATTATCTATCTCTGTTTGCAGCTTGAAGGTCTCGCATGCCGCCAGTGCAACCCAGTTAGTTGATGAGTACAGTGCAGAAGTGTGCATACAGGCAGTTCTGCAGTCTTTTCCACGCATTTACCTCTCCATCCTATATGTTTGTGATGGAGCACTGCTGGGAGAGGATGGTCTCAGAACAGTTTAATATCACACCCACCCTTCCTCATCACCTGACCCTGGAAGCATGTCCATCAGATCACTGCCTGCACAGGTACCTATGTTGTGATCCAGAGCCACCAAATTATGTTCGTATGAGTGTCCTTCACACAACCATTCTTGACACATTAGGTATTACCCACTAGTATTTCAACGATTTGAAAAGTTTGGAAATAACATAGCTTTAATTTACTTAGAATAAATTTAAATATAAGGTGGACTCAGACTGTTTCTGCCATCAGCCCTGGATAGTCCAGGCCCTAGTAATTTAGGCACATAGTTGTGCACTGAAACATGGTGGAGGGCATTTGCGGTCTTAGAAGAGTGTGGACTTTGAGTATTTTACTTTAAGCAGAAGCTGCAGGGATTAAAAAAACAGTAAAATTTACTATGGGGATCGTGTCACCCATCTCTGAAATCAAGCAATATCTGGGTTGGAATGTGGCATCTGTTTAAACAGTGCACAGAAATAGTACACAACAATTTTTAGGTCAGGAAGCTGGGAACATCATGATCAACTGAAAATGCCAAGGGAATCATAGGTGGGTGGAGTGTTATTACCCAATCTGGTATTTGGCCAGGGAACCAAAACATCTCTGAAAACCTCTGTGGGATTGTTGATAACCACAGCTGATGAGGACTCACCTCCACATCACAGAGGGGTGTCAACATACAGCAACACAGATTCTGTTGTATCTTTTAATTTTTTTTTTTCTTTTTGCATCTTCCCTGTCTCTCTGTCCAGTACTTCAATTTCACCTACAAATGTTGGTGAGACATCACTCCAGTGGTTTGCAGGTGTTGCTGATTCCCAGGCCAAGGCGACCAACAGCACGTTTTCAGACAAGAAGAGTGTTCAGTGGGAACCCATTTGTGATCGTTCCCAACACATCTGTCCTGCCCCTCCTGCTCTGGCTCCTGCCTCTGTGCTGTACCATCCATCCTCCTCAGTTATGCCAATGAAATTATTAATAGAGTCATTTAGTGAACTAGATCAGGCAATTAATGTTCTGTTTTTAAAGCCAGCTTAATTTCTTGATCTAGTTCATGCGAGCACGGTGGGAGGTGCAAGATACTACAGTGCCAGGGAGGGAACAAGCAGAAGGCATGGGATCAGGAACGACTTGATCTGCTTTTGTCACTAAATGCTAATTGTAATGATTGTAAATGGAAATTCCATTGCACAGATTGGAACTCTTAGATCAGTCAATCCTTTATCTAAATTATTTTCTTATGTTTACCTAGTAAATGACTGGATGCAGCTGCTGATACGCTACTTTTACAGTATCGCCTGAATACCTGAGTCACACTGTTTCACAATCAGTGCACAGTCTGCACTGATACCATAACAACATGTAGGTGTTTGAGGTACTACGTCTCAGGTGATAGCTTGTAAACCACTCAAAGTATCCTGGCTGTTGACTTTTTAGATTCATGTCACTGACATGAGTTCATTGACATGGAAATAAAACCTTAGGTTCTGCAAGAGTGAGTTGTGCATTTGGCATAACTAAGTACATATTGATCAAGTTTTGCTGCATAGCCAAAATGCTTTTTTTTTTTACTGCTGTTTGGACATCGTAAAATTTTCAGACACTTTCAGAAGTTCATGCTGCATTACTTGTGATCAGTTTTAAACACATGGTATATTGTTCTGTTTTTAGAAACAGGAAGGTTTTCAAAAGTACAAGACCCAGGGCTATTGAGACAGTTGATGATGTAAGTGCATCTTAGGGATCAGAAGATGCAACACAGGATTTCGCCAATTTGACCTATTACTAAATTGCAGCATTGAAGTCGTTGGTTGGGAGGAGAATTGTGTATATTAGGAGTGTTTGGTTGTGTACACATGTAGGTTTTTCTAATAGTATTTTTCTGTTGATTAGGATTTTTTTTCTCTTCAAATCCCTCTAAGACATATCAATTAAATGATAATGTGTTAACTTAGCACTGGCTGCTCCCAGACGTTACATGGAAATATATATGAATAATCATTATGAAGATGCAAGATGAAAATAAAAACATAAACCAGAATGGTATGTGTGAAAATTTAGCAGGAAAGTGTATTTAAAAAAACACTTTAACAGAGAAATTATCTACTAGAGGTTGCCTGACATACTTGAGTTCAGCAGTTAAGTTTGAAGTAGGTCTTGAGTATCTGGAGCCGGATGCCTCTGCATGAATACAGTGGGTCCTGGGAGAGAACTGCAGTTGCATGCCGGGCCTTCTTTCAATGTAATATGCCTGCAGCTGGTCAGACATGACCATACCATCTTATCCAACCTAAATCAATTAAAAAAGAGGATTTTTTTTCTACTTACTAGTCACAGA